TTCACAATGGCTGAAAGACGGCAACAGCCAAGGTGTTCATTGGCAGATGAGCACATAAACCAAATGTGGAGTGTCCATACAATGGAGTATCATCCAGCCTTAAAAAAGAAGGAAATTCCCACACATGCCACAACATGGATGAACACTGAGGACATTATGCCAAGTGACATAAGCCAGTCACAAAAACACAAGAGCTAAATGATTCTGCTTACATGAGGTAACTGCAGTATCCAAGTCATAGAATGAGGGTGGGGTTGAGGGGACAGGGAGTTAGTGTTTCTTGAGTATAGAGCTTCAGTGTTGGAGGATGAAAAGCATTCTGGAGGTTAACTGTACAACAACATGAATGTAATTAACACTACAGTTAAGTACACGGTTGTACACTTAAAAATGGTTGAGATGGTAAATTTTATGTTATATTTGTTTCACCAGCAATATAAAAACAATTGACACACTTAGTGTGTGCTAAGGATCCTTGTGTCCTCTCCTGGGATAGAGTAGGGACCACTAGAAGTCTCATCCTCACAGAGCTCATGTAGTAGGAATGACAGGCAGCATTCAACATGCACATTAGTGAGAAGGAAAACCAGAGCATGGTGAGTGCTATGCAGAGAACCAGGTGACAGCAGTGACAGAGGTTTCAGGGTCATCTCTCTGAGAGGTGTGAGGTGGTCTTAGAGGGGAAGGTGTTAAGCCAACATAAGCAGCCAGCCAGTGGTGGTCAGGCTGGCATTGGAGAAGCAGAGAAATAGCTGGTTGCTTGTGTGTGATGGGGAGGGTGGTGGGGGCACAGTGAGAAGTGGACAGGCCGACCTTGCAGGCGGGGACACCAGGGTGTGGAGAGCATCTTTGTTCCAGGCAGTGGGAAGCTGCTACATGGGCTTAAGCAGAAGAGTGATGTGCTCTGGTTAGTGTTTTAAAATATGCTTCTGCCTGCCTCTTACCTGGGGGAATGGAGTTCGGCTCCTGGCTCTGTGTCCCTGGCAAACCACTCACCTGTGCAGGTACGTGTGGAGGGTGAAGCCTCCATCGAGCCGGGTGCCCGAGCTGACCCAAGCTGCAGAGCGGTGCTCTGGTCCCACTGTTGTGGGTTTTCCGGATGTGCTGTGGTGCTTCCTGTGTATGTCACGTGATTCTCCTTTGGTTGGGATGGCGGTGACACAGGAGCAGGAATATTTTAAAGAACAAATTGCAGACGGAAACAGGTGGTACTGATACCAGAAACCGTGGGTGTGGGCAGCCAAATTGGAAAATGGGGCCGCTTGACAGAGCTTTGGTTGTTCTTAGCTTCCTTAACGACCGTGGAATGGAATGAAAAACCTGAGCTGTTCCAGGCAAGGTCTGTTTCGAGGGAAAATGACATCAATTTTACTAAATTACCATGTGAAAGAGACAACAAGCCTCTCTCTGGTGACCAGCAAGACTAGCATCGTGCTAGAGCACTCTGGTTCCCACACTCCAGTGGGGGTGGAGGCCCTGGAGCAGGGTGGGGAAGGGGCATTGTTCAACACAGATGGCCTGCCCAACCCCAGGGTCTCTGATTCAGTGGGGGCTGGGGTGGACTCCAGAATGTGCGTTTCCAACAAGTGTCCAGGTAACGTCGGTGCTGCTGCTTTGGGGACCCCACTCAGACACTGTGCTACAGAGCATAGCTTTCTCCTGTTTGGGGGTCTTAATAGTGGTGTATGCAACCTAAGAGTGTCACCCACAAGTCCCTGTCTGGCTCTAGGGAGACCTTGGGTTATACAGGCAGGTGGTGCCCTTGTGAAGCCCAGCCTAGTGTGGTGAGCAGCTCCTCTCCTTGTGCCTCCAACCACGGCTCCTTCTATGGTCCCTGCCTGCCCCCCCTTACTGTGTCCCCACATTGCCTAGCCAGAGAAGCCGTAGTGTGCTGCTGGCAGCAGGTCCACCCTGCTAGGCCCCTAGGCTGCCAAGGAAATGTGACAAACACAGCCAGGGCTGAACACTTGCTGGGACGCAGCCAGAGCTGGACGCCGGAGACAGAATTTCCAGACGCTTGGCTGTGCTGTTCCCGCCCCAACCAGGTGTCTCCCTAAACATCATGTAGCCCTTGCCTCGACGACTTCTCCTGAGCATGAGTTTCCATGGGAAAAGAAAAGCAGAGACTTTGTTACATGTCTTTGAGGCTTGTACCTTGTGTTTTGTGGCTGTCATCGGATTTTCTTCTGGCTCGCCTGGCTTGGCACAGGACCTCAAGGGAGATTCCGAGTGTGCACCTTACCCTGTGCTCTGAGCTTTGTCAGAGCCTGTGGTCAGCACCTGGCAGGTGACAAAGTGCTTGAGCTGTGCTCAGGCTTTGGTACCTGCTCTCTTGGATGTCAGTGCCCTAGTTACATGTCAAGAGGAAATGTCTTCTTATAAGTCTTGCTAAAGAACATTATTTAGAGCATGAAGCTTTATTTTTTTAATGAGTTAACTTTGTACTTTTAATTGTAGTAAAATGCAGTTAACATGAAATTTACCGTCTTAGCCATTTTTAACTGTGTGGCTCAGTATTCTTATGTTCACATTGTTGTGCAATCGATCTCTACAGCTTTTTTATCTTGCAAAACTGAAACTCTGTACCCATTAAACACCTTCCCATTTTTGCCTCCCCCGCGGCCCCTGGAGCACGAAACTTTCACATCCCCCTTCCATCTCCCATCTTTTTAGTGGCATTTGTTTTAAGGGAGGTGACTGAGCTTTGGGCTAATGGTGTATGGAGTGCACGTGGCTCTGAACTGTTATCAGCCTGCCAAGGAGAAGATGGGTGATTTTGACAGGGGAGCTTGTTGCTACAGTTTTGTTCTTCCTGAAACTTGCACTGTTCCTTGCAGTCTTTCCTTTTGTGGCATATGAGAATATCACTGAGGATTGCTTTCTCATGTTACTTCTTTAAATCTGTAGTATTCCTTAATGTTTTTGGTTTTGACTGGGGTTGACGTGACAGGCAGTATTTAGATTGTGCTGTGCAATCTCAATGAACACTGTGCAACTTGAATTTTCTCCCTCATAACTTCAGGTTTTCATTCTTCCTAATTTTCATGTTTTGAGCTGAAATTTACCACTTTAGACCCAATTCTGATGCTGAATATTTTAGGGAAGATTTGAATTACAGCCATTGGATGGTTCTGGAAGTATCAAAACAGGAACAAGTTAGGTGCCTCCCCCTTCCTCTCCCAGGCTTGGAGATAGGTAATGAATGCATGACTTCAGAACTGGCTTGTGGATGGTCCAGTATTAAGAAAACGACAGCTAGTTCTTGAGGAAAGGAGATTTTGAAAATAACAAAAGTGAGAGCAGAACATCTAGATGTGTTCTATTTTTCCTTGTGTGAAGGAATATTACGTCACACAAAGATAGGTTTTTGTTTTTGTTTTTGTTTTTAACTGTAATAATAGTTTTCAAAGAGTAAAATTCAAGCAGTGACACAGCTGATTCCTTTGTCACGGAGATGCTCAAACACTGTGTGCCTGGCTTCTAGCACTTGTGGGCTGGGTTCGGCCGTGTCGAGCGGCTCCGCTTGGCCTGAGTTGACCCTGGCGATGCTGTCTACCGTGCTCGTCGCTTGCTGCTGCTGCTGATGTATTGATAGTGTGAACACAGCACCAGCTGGAGAAAGTTTTAATGTTCCTGCTAGAAAATTCTCCCTCCTGGGTTATGTCTATAGGTAAAAACCAAGTAGAATATTCAAAAGATTCTCATTCTTGTTCCCTCCACACCTTCCAACCGCCACCACCTTTAGTACGCTATTCACATACCTCTCGCAATCCTGCTTTCTCCGCGTTACGAAAAAGGAACTCGGCAGAGTCATAATGACCTGGGGCTCGTCAGCTGCAGTGGGCTTTTTCCATCCATGTCAACTTTGACTCCTTCGCCTTATTCCAGGTTTCCCTTCTCTTCCTTTTGAATCGCTTTCCTGTGACTGCTTGATGTTGAGGTCCTTACGATTAAGTTCTGCAACAAGATATGCAAAATTAAGAAAGATAGGTCCTTTTCTGTTACTGCAGTTTATTTCAGTGACAAACTTTGGTTACAATGGGGCTTGAGGAAATAAAGAAGGAATGTAGACCTTTTGGCTGGACAGGGCTGAGTTTGAATCAAACCATTGTGACTGGCTGTGGGTCTCACACAGGTGGCTTTACCTCAATGAACTGGTTTCCCTGTTTCCCAGCTGAGAGTGGTGGAGATGCCCGCCTTGGTGGGATGTGGCAAGGGTTAGCAATAACACAGGCTGGTGTTCAGCAGCAGGCATCTGTCTCCCCTAGCCCCTTCATGAAGGTCCCCTTAAACCCTAGGCATGAAAGCCCAGAATGGAAGTTTTCAGCCTTCTGCCCTTTCTTTTTTTCAAAACCACCTTTCCTATGTGTGTGTGTGTTTTTTTTAACCAACTATTTCCAGCTTAGCTTTATACATATACATAAGCATACTGTATATGTATGTTTGCACACATGTGTATGATTCTAGAGGTTTCTCTTATCTACATTTTTCTTTTGGCAAATCCATTTTTAAGGACATTTCTGGCTTTTCCTGGACAACTTTTTAAATAAAATCTGGGTTATGTTTCTCACATATGTATTTTTTATTCCAATAAGACTTTATGTATGGACACTGACATTTGAATTTCACGTAATTATTCTTTAGTTTTTTTTAGTACTGGAAGAATACAACCTATATTTTTAATGTTGATTTTTAAATTTTTTTATGAATGGAATTTGTATTTTAGAATAATTTAAGATGTACAGAAAAATTGATCAGTTAGTACAGAGAACTGCCATACATAGTTTCCCCGTTATGAGCCTCTCATATTAGAATGGCATGTTTGTTGTAATTAATGCACCAATACTGATACAGTGTTATAAACTAAAGTCTACACTTTATTTCTATTTCCTTATTTTTACATAATCTCTTTTCTGTGTCCCAAGTTCCCATTCAGGATACTACTGTATTTTTAAAAGTTTTTATCTTTATATCTTTATTTCTTTTTTCTGTCTTGATAGGTATACAATATGTTTCAGCACCAGAGCCTGGGGATTAAAATTAACATTCAAGTGACCAAGCTTGTCCTGCTACGACAACGTCCGGTAAGTCCCACAGGCACCTTTCAAGCATGCAGAAAATGTGGCTGGCCTGGAGCTTCCCAATTGCTGTTGAATGCTAAGCGGAGTTCCAGGGAGTTGCTGGTGTCCGTCACCCTCTGTGGCTTTGCCAGTGTGAGAGGAAAGCCGGCATCAGTACTGGAAGCATGGTGTGAGGGTGGGCTGCTGAGAATCTCAAGGAACCCTTAGCAGTGAGCCCACACACATCCCCCTCCACTCCCGGAGGGTCTCGTATGGAGTCTCTAGGATATGTGCAAAAGCTTGATGACGAGGTCTCTGGCATCATGGCTTCCCTTCTGAAACTACATTAGAGCTTCTACCCCAGTTTGGGTTCACAGCAGCATTATTTTCTGGTCTTTCAATGGCGCGCCTTCCCACACGCTGATGTTACCTGCCAAGTCAAGCCATCACCATGAGACTGAGGGAGCATTGCGTGGTTTGGGATACTGTTCTGTTTGCAGAAAATAAGATGCTTTATTAAAAAACAACATAGTCTTCATTTGCACCTAAATAAGGCCCCTGATGGTCTCTCTGGATCTGTGCCATATACCCACTGGCGTCAGGCTTTTCTTCGAGGGCGGTGAGTCATCAAATGATGTCTCAGTGAGTGACTGCCTCCACCTTAACATCCTTGCCATAGTCTGGATATAAACTCTGGCCTCCCAGGCGTTTGTGTCTCTTAACTGTCCCGATTTCTTTTAGGCTAAGTTGTCCATTGGGCACCATGGTGAGCGGTCCCTGGAGAGCTTCTGTCACTGGCAGAATGAGGAGTATGGAGGAGCACGGTACCTTGGCAATAACCAGGTTCCCGGCGGGAAGGATGACCCACCCCTGGTGGATGCTGCTGTGTTTGTGACCAGGTAAGACGGGATTTGGCCTGTAGCTGACATGCGAAAGGGAAGAGATGTTTCCTTTCAGAGAGGAAATAGGCATGTTGTTAAGAATTCAGGCTTGGAAATCAGACCTTGGGCCACCTATCTGGGCTTTGGTTTCCTCATTAGTAAGTGGGGGTTAACGGTGGTATCCACCTTTGAGGGAAGTACGATGCCTGGGCATGTAGCTGTGTCCCTCTTTGTCCCTCCTCCATTGTCACATGGTGTTCTTCCTGCGTGTCTCTCTGTCCAGACCTCCCTCTTCCTATAAAGATGACAGTCATAGGATTTGGGCTCACCTTACTCCAGTGTGACCACATCTTACCTTGATTCCACCTGCAGTGACCCTTTTTCCATGAAGGGTCACATTCACAGGTACTGAGGGTCAGGACTTGGACCATTTCTTTTTGGGGGATACAACTATTGTGTGTCGTTGATGTCGATGTGGCTATATCATTTTTTTCTTATGTTTCAACCCTCTTTGAGGAACACTGATTTTTCTTTGGTTGCTTTACTTTAATAATGTAAACAAAATGTGTTACATGTTCATACCAAAACTCTCCCTTTACAAGAAACACAGAAATATTCCTTAATAACTTAATCCATTAGATTAAAAATACCAGCTTTTTATTAGAGTTGCTAAGAATATGTCAACTTTGAATTTTAACAACTTTTTTTAATTTAAAGAAACTACTTCCCAAACTGCATGCTTGCTTTTCCTCTGTGAATTTGGACGTGAAGTTGTGGAAGGGAGAATTTTATCATATCTTTAGCTTGGGGGCAGTTTGTTTCTCCACAAAAAGTTTTTTTTGTTTTGTTTTTTGTTTTTTGAGACAGAGTCTCCTCTGTTGCCCAGGCTCGAGTGCAGTGTGATGCAATCTTGGCTCACTGCAACCTCTGCCTCCTGGGTGC